CAACACTACACTCCATTTTGCATTCCTAGCAAGAACCACACACAAACCTCCTATGTAGAACCTCTATGGAAACTCAACGGTAAGAGCTCCGGGTCACACGGGCTACTCATGTTTAGACACGAAGAAAGGATTTGGGGGGCGTTCTACTAACACCTTTAAGCTCACACGAACGAAGCTCCTAAATTGAGAACGACCCACGGAGTCACAATGATCAAAGGGGTTGACTAAGGGATTATGCATTTCGGGACAATCAATGTTTGGGCGTGGACTCATCCTATGCCTCCATCATACTTGCTAGTGACAACTGTTATGCTACACACCGTGGTAAGAGGGAACTATCACACCAAAAAAAACGAACGGCTCAAAGCTCACAGGCTACCTAGTTACCCAACCATCTATTCCAATTCACAAACACGATGCATGACAATTGTAAACAACAAGTGATCAAGTCAAGACATCCATTCATTTATGCAAACTTAAGAACTAAACTTTTGCTCTATCCTAATGAACTTCTCAGTCCATCATAGGATATACTCGATCACATGCAACAATTCAAGATCAATGCCACAAACACGAGAATTTCCCACGATTCGGCCACTTTGCACATGCAAACATTGCTTGGAGCCCTCAAATTTTTGAAATTTGGGCATACAAAAAGCGTCCAGAGCCAAAATGGAGGTTGCTGACGTAAGGTGAGTTCACAGTCACTACGACCGTGAACAAAGGTTGTTGACTGTGAACAGAAGAGATCGATGTGGTGCGTTTTTGCACACGCCTGCAGTTCATGGACGCGTTTCGTGGTTCACGGCCTTGAACTCGGGCCGTGAACTCAGCTCGTCTCTCGTTTAAATGATGAGCTGAAAGGAGGAGAGAAGGGGGAGCCCATTTTGTGTGAGAAGCCTTCTTCATAATTCTAGAGAGAGAAACACGAATCAAAGGGAGAAGAAGGATAGGGTTTTGCTTCAAGGCAGATTTTGGGAAGATTTCCTCCAAGGAAAGCTCAACTCAAGGGCCAAGAAGACTGGGAGCATCCTCCAAGATGGTTTTCACCTCTTTCCCTTTTGTTTTTCCCACTTCTAGCATGGAGTAGACCTCCTTTCACTTGGGTGTTGTGAAACCCTAACTCTACCATGTAGTTTTTTATGTGTATTGGATGATTGTCATTGGGTATTGTTCAATTCAATGATTGAGGCATTCTTTATCATGATTGTGCATGCTTGTGCTCAACAACCTAGGGGTTGTGCATGTTTTTTGCTTAACATCCTTAGGTTTGTGGATTTAGGTTCTTAGCAACCTAAGAATTGTGCATAATTGTGCTTAGCACCCTTAGGCTTGTGCATGTTGGTGCTAGCAATCTAATTAGCCACCTTAGCCTAGCTTAGAGAGGAAAATCCCCCTTCCAAGTGAGACTCAATCAAGTTGGTTTTCCTTCCGCTTCCTAAGCCACCTAACTAGGTTAAGTTAGGAAACCCTCAATGTTGACTTAAGAAAATTGGTTAATTGCGATTAAACCGTCCGACCTTTGAGTTGAGTGAGGAAGTAAGTCGATTACCGGTTGTCTAAACCAAGAGGGTCGAGTGACACGGCCTTTCATGCTTACCTCGGTTTAGCAATTGAGATTGTGGTCTCCGACCATATATGCATCCCTCTGCGGTTCGCGATTACCATGCCCAAAGCAATCGTTCCAATTCACATATCATGGTAGCAGTTATGGGGAAGCGACACCCGAATGATCATTTCACAAAAGAGTTTCCAAAACCATTTACCTTTGTCTTCTTTTATTTCAATTAGCAAACCTTTAAACCAAAACTTTTTGTTGCTAGATAATGATTTCAACAACTTCAGTAGGGGTAGACAGACCAGCCCTGGTCGATATCTAAATACTTGGCCTATACTGCACCCGACTAGAGTTTAAAAACTTGGGCTCTAGTTGGGATTTTATTGTGGTGTAGTTTCATGCTAGTCACTCGCCTCGACATTGTTGTTGGAGGCCGCGATAGAAAGAAAGAAGAGCGTTGGTGAGATGGAAGAAAGGAGGTGAGGGAACTGGGTGGAAGAAAGGAGGGCGCGATTTTGATTCTCCAATGGCGGCGGTGGCGACTCGTCGGAGAAGGGATAAGATTTCGGGGAAGATATGGGTTTCGAAGAAGGGATAGGGATTCTTTTTCCCGATTAAGGTGAGAGGGGGAGGGTATAAATGGGCCCTTTATTTTTTTCGTTCTTTTAATTAAATTTTTTTATTTGTTATTTTTATTAAATCGAAAGAAAACAAAATTCAGAAATAAAAAAAATATGTCCTGATAGCTGACGTGGCAGGTGAGGTGGACAGTGACTAACGGTCAACCCGCCTCCAGGCCAAATAAGGAAGTTTGTTACATAGTTTAGACCAGAATAGCAATTTCCAATACCACGGGCCAAAATAAAAAGTTTGTGTATAGTTCGGACCAAACTAAGGTATTAACCTAAAAAAAAAGAACAATTTGACATTCTAGCATTCTAGCACGAGTTGTTGGAGCAAATCTCACTTTTGGGAGCCAAAGTGTCAAATAAATCGCTCCCTCCTTATTGGAGATGGTTTAACAAGGTCATTTTACGTGAATTCATTATTCTTGGAACGTAACTCGCTAGTTTTGTTGTGTGGTCACATCTCAATATATGAATTGGGCTATCCACTTAGTGACATGACTAGGAATATGTAGCAATTATGCACTCAATTTTGGGTATCTGACGCTCCACATGATCCAATAAAACAGGTTACAGTATCATAAACCAACTGATCTCAATAACTCGAGTTGTTGTGAGAGGCTCATGTATGGTATTTAATCACTTTCTTACACACCCCCCTCAAAATAAAGTCAATTCATGGGCTTGAAGTTTGCAAAGACTTGTCATACCATGTGCTAGAAGACAACGGTTAATATTGGGGGTCGTGAGGACCTGAACACGTGACCTCAATGACAAACCAGCTATGATACCATGTCATAAACCAAATGATCCCAATAACCCGAGTTGTTGTATGGTACTAAACCACTTTCTTACAATGAGGGTTCTCGTATTTGTCGGGTAAGGTACTAAACCCCTAATAAATAGCTTATTATATTTTACAAAGAAAGATCGAACCCTAACTTCATGATTAATAAACAAGGCAACCAGTAACCTACACAAGCTACCAAGAACTTAATCTAATAGTACTATCACTAGTTTTCAACTTTAAAGTATCAAATTTTGAATTGCTTAAACGACACTTAATAATGAAGTTACGTGACTCTGATAAGAAAACTGATTATTGTACACAACTATATTATTTTCTACCCATATTTAGAGCCGCAAATGAGCAGAGTCGAGTCGAGTTTTACCCCAACTTGAGCTCGAGCTAGCTTATTTACTAAAATCTTGACTTTTATTTGGTACTTCATTTTGTATATCATGATACATATGATTTATTTTTTTTAGCTAATCTCATATTATACTTTGTTGGTATCATATATCATTTAGTTACTAAATTTTAACTACCCAAATCATGTTATTTCATAGTATCGAAGCAATTTATGATACATAATTTTTTTTTAAGGTAGAAACTAAGATATATTTGCTCACATACTCAACGTGTTAAACTTTATATATGGTGAGATATATAATTTAACAACCATATGAATTAAAATAATAAGATATAGATTGATTCGTCCATAAGTCGGTAATCGAGTTGACTCTCTAGCCACATGTTGAGACATATCATGAGCTCTAAACGAGGCAGCTCACGAGTTTAGCTCAACAAGCCACCGAGTCGAGCTAGCTCGTGAGCTTCACGAGCTTAGCAAAGCTTAGCTCATGTTCGGCTCGTTAATAAACGAGCCGAGTTTCGAATGAGCTTTTCTGAATCGAACGCCAAACCGCTCACGAGTAGCTCAGCTTATTTGCAGCCCTACCCATATTTGCTTGGGAGGAGACCGAAACATGTGACCCGGGCATGTACGGGTGAGAATCAAATCAATTGATGGGCTGGGAAGAAGGTGCAGGACTTGGCCCGGCCCAACGAGAAACAAAAAGTAGAGAGAATATCATTTAATAAATAAATGAAGGCGCAACCTGAATCCTCCTGATCTCTATCTGTATTCTGTACCTTGGCCTTAAACTCCATTCCATACTCGTGTTTCTAATTTGAATGCAGCAGCCAGAGCAGTGAGAGTTGTTTGTTGGACCGACTCAAACTTCCCTTCCCTTCTTACTTTTACTTTCCACCCGCTGCTTCACAGACTCACAGTCACAGACAGACAGTCGCATTGATTGATAGCGTCACGCCCTCACCCTCGTGCAAAGCGTGTGCTCTTCATTTCACCCACTCCCAACCCCTCCCAATTCCCATCTACCTTTTACTTTTTACAGTTTGCTTTTTCCCTTCTCAAAGAATTTTACCCTTATTCTCCGGCTATCCCAAATACATTTCAATTAATTAACCACCTTGTAATTAATTATTTATACATGTGGTCCTTAACTTATCTACTCACAATGTCAGATTCCCCCACGTTTTTAATACGCCCTTGGACTATTTTTTTTATTTTTCCAAACTACTAAAAGAAATCTATTAAGCTTAAAGAAATTATTATAATTATCAAGGAAGCCTTTCGAAGAATAACAGTAATTGCAACTTGCAAGTGAAAACAAAACCCAAATCCTCAGGCCCTAAAAAAACAAACAAGAACAAATTGAGTCATAATACTGACTTAATTGATTCTTGTAACAAAAAAAAATTGAAATTATTATCTCGATCTTTGCAATATTTATGGCGACTTCTTCTCTGCTCTACTCTACTCTAGTCTCAAATCTCATGTAACTCGTGTCTGAGTTACTGCTACTCTCGTCGTCCTTCTTCCTTCTCCTACTCCCCCTCCCTCTCCCAATTTGGATCTCCAAAAGAAGAGGGGCAAATCCGGGTATTCACCTCCACTCCCGCCTTCTTCTTATTCTTCTTCCCCCCAACTTCTCACTGTTAAAGCCCGTTCCTCTCTCTCTCTCTCCCACACATTCTCTCCTCTCCCAATACCTTGCAGCCATGTCCAAGGCAACCGCCGAACTCGATTTCTTGGGCGCGCAGAGTAATGGCGGCACTCCTTCCGAATCTCGCTTCCACCGCCTCCTCCGCCGCCAGAGGAGCCTCCGAGGTCCTCTCTCTCTCCGCTCCCTTCGCCGTCGCAGAATTCAATTTTCTCCTCTTTTGTTTATGCCGTCTAACTGTCAATTCGCGGCGGCAGATATCCAGGGCGCCATTTCCAGAATCGATCCGCAGGTCCTCAAGTCCGTGATTTCCTCCGGCACCGCTCCTCCTGAAAACAAACGCATCGCCGCCTCCTCCGCTCCCTCTTCTCCCAAGCAAGACACCACCGCCGCCGCTGTTTCGTCTCCGCCGACGCTTCCTCTCTTTTCTACCACGCCGAGGTTTGTTAATTGATTGTGCCTCCTCCCACTCGCTTCTCCATTTTTGTTTTTCTTCAAATTCTCTGCCGGCGAGTTCAATGCCTCTGCACACTGATTGATTATCTGTTTACCTTCTCGTCTCTCTCGCTGTGTTGTCTGTGCCAGTCCTGCTGCGGAAACTCCTGGCGGAATCGCTCCGTTGACCATATTTTACAACGGAACCGTCGTCGTCTTTGACATCGCTCCTGATAAGGTAACCTTCTCCGACCTCAGTCTCGCCCCCGTATTATCACTTCGCTAGCGTCGCGAGCTCCATTATTTCCCCCGCGGTTGGCTGTAGAATTGAGATTTGAGTTACGTTTCGTTTCCAATTTGCGCTCACAAAAGGAAGGGAAAATCGATTGTGTTACAGGCCGAGAACATTCTGAAGCTCGCTGAGAAAGGCCTTTCACCTGCTCCGGGCGACCAAAAACCGGCGGCCGACTCCGTCGGAGGAGGTTTGTGATTCCGCCGTCAATATCTGAATTAATCTCGTTTCGTTCAGACTCTCGCCTGATAATAATCAACTAAACACACACTCGCATCCATTGTTTGTTGAATTTGCAGCTGACCTTCCGATGGCTCGCAGGAAGTCTCTGCAGAGGTTCTTGGAGAAACGCAAGGAAAGGTAAACAAATAAGTAAATTTTTTTTATTATTTTAAATTCTCTATTCGGCCACGTTTCTCCTTGAGTTGTTTAATGGTGAATTTTGTTTATCTTTTCTTTTCCCTCCTTCGTCCTCGCAATTATTTTTCTTTTTTTCTTTATTTATTTGTAGCTTTGAAAGGGAAGGCTAACGGTTTAGATCCTGGTCCCCTCTTTGTTGTTAACCCTCTTCAAACAGCTAGGAAGGATAATAAAAAAAGGTAGGGACGAAATCTGTTAATCCTTTCATATTATTTTTGTTGGTTTGAATTCAACCAATATGAATCAAATGAAATCTAAACCGAAACGTTAAGATGCCGATGAGAATATCGTAAGGTTTGAAATCAAAACCGAATCGAATTATAGATTTTAGTCTCATTTCGAGCCAGACCAGGTCTGCTCAGCTCTAACTGCCTAAATGAAAAGGAAGTAGAGGAATAATAAAGCAGGTACAAAATCAAAGCGTGTTGGTTACGTGAGTCGTGAAGTTTGTCCAATGAGGGAAAACTGGAAAAGGATTTATTCCCCTTCAAAACGTGTCCGTGAGAAATTTGTCACAAAAGGCCACGAAAGGGAGAGAAGTGAGGACAAAGTAGGGCGTGGTGACAAAGACACCACCGCATGCACCGACTAAATCCTGTGTTGTGGACAAAGGATCCCATGTCTAGCGGTGGAGGTTTTGTATTGGTATTTGGGATATATCGAATACCGATCGAATTTGTCTATATTTGGTAATATAGGTATTATTTCATGAGATTGAGATTGAATTTCAATTGTTATTCGGTATTAGGAATTACGGGATACCGAAATACTGATCAATAGCGAAATATAAGCTATTGTGTATTTTATCCTCTCAACTAGACCCTCTCATTCACTACTACGCAACCCTCAACCACCAAAAGTGTCATTTAATTATACATAGAGCATTTCATCACTATTTCATACTAGTATTAGTCGTCTCTCAATCTCAAATTCGTCAAATTAAAGATTACCAATTAGAAGAATTTGAGATGTTAGCTCTTGGCAACTCAAGACTCTTTTCTTAGTCTATTTGTCCTAAATTAAAGAATAAAATCTAATTTATATATTTAATTATTAATTGTAAAGGTAATTAATTTTGTATTCGATAGTACCAATTGGGATACCGAAATATTTAGGGATTGGAATACCAAAATTATTTAGGGATTGTGATTGGGATTGATTTTAAAGTGTAATTCGGTATTCGAGATTTCGATATTTAATATTGGAATACCAATACTATACCAATTTTCACCCCTACCCATATTTATATATAGGCCATTTCCGTCCCAATCGACGGAAACTGCAAACTACCTCTATTCCATTTCCATTTCCATATATATTGTCTCTTCACTTCCATTAATTATTGCTTTGCTTGCTTTGGATTTGTGCAGGCTGACTACGCATTCCCCCTACGCCTGCTTTTAGACTGGTCTACAGACTCTGGTGGCGGTGGAGGCTTTTCTCGTTAATTGACTACCCAGCAAGCCAAAGTTGTTATTAGTTAATAATATATAGTTATTATTGTTATTGTTATAATCATATGAAGTGGTTCTTATTTCTTAATCTATAATGATATAGTAGTCATAGGGTCTGACTAGCAGAGGGGGGAAACTACTGTTTGGGTTTGTGGACTTTGTTGGTCGTCTAATGACTGCTCTCTGCCTTTTTCAATTTGCGATATTGCACTTTTCATTATTATTATTATTATTATTATTCAATATTGATTGAAAGTTCTTAAGTATTTGTTACCGATTCTTCCAACGACTACTATTATTGCTTACTTTGATTACATTATTATTGTTGTTGTTCTCTTTGATTAGTATTTCTTTATTGGATTAGTGGGTTGAATTGAGGTGGGGAATTCAGCACGTTTTCATTGCACACTTCCTTTTATCCGTTCCTGCAAATAAAAGGCAGATGACGTGTTAGGTTATTGGTTGGGTAGAAGTTGATCAGGTTTAGGTATCTCCGCTCCATAATTAAGGTCCTAATCGTGCTGCACAAATACCGGGCCACCCTATTCTACAAAACAATTAACTTAAGGCAGGAGGGCGGCTTATAAGGGTGGTGGATCAAATCAAATACCCTGTTTCCTGAGTCTATCTTTGTTTAATATGCAAGAAATTGCGAGGAAGATGAAGATGCTTAACATGATATGGATGAGGAAGCACTAAACTATTGCATTATTCTGTCTCATCACAAGACGATAACGTACACTATACAATAATCCCGGAAGTTTTCAGTCATGGCTACTCTTCATCGTTGAAGTCCGTGGTTGTTTGATTGGAATAGTCAATACATTGTTTTTTTTTAATTTCCACCATAAATAATACATGCATTGTTTGTTTGATGTGATGGAAACTATCACTCAAAATTAGTGATAGTATTATCTCTACTAAAACTTGAGATTGTTGAGATTGTTTTGTTCCCCTTTTTGTTCCAAGTATACCCCTAGTTATATATATGGTCTCATACAAGTAAGGGCAAAAGTGATATTTCTCACAAAAAGTAATATAACATGTTGAATACTAAAAGAACTATCATCAAAACCAAACAATGTAAAGTACATACATTACATCATTTTCCTAAATTGCATGTATATTACAATGCATGCATTGACCACAAGTATAACCAAAATCAAATGACCCCGGTATTGTACTTGTAGCGTCTTGTCAAGGAATTGTATGAATGAGGTTTTTCTAAAACTAGAAATTTTGCCCAAATCATTATGTCTAAAGAATCCAATTTTTTTGATACAAAAGTTAATCATATATTGATCCAAAGAATAGACAATTACATCCTGGAGTTCATCTAGGTCTGGAAATAAAATAAAAAAACGACTCATAGTCGGGTACAATGAAAGGGCTTTTCTAGCCACCATATGAGCTACCCTATTACTACGTCGACCTACAAATCGAACACTAAACTCAGAATGGATGACAAACTTCTTCAAGAATAGTCCTCATCTGAGTATTTCCGGTATCAACCCGAAGTATCTTCTCAATGATTACCTTGGCATCCCCTTCAAACCTCATTTTTGTGAAGCCATGGTCCAGACACCATAACATGGCCTCCCGAGGCACAAGTAATTCAACCACCATAGGGCCATCAAGCAAAGGAAACTAAACCCCAAAAGCCATAAGGACTTTCCTGGCTAGGTTCAAAATAACCATCCCGTCGGCCGAATGAGACTCACTCCTTGTAGCCCCATCCCACATACAAACAACCATATTAATCCCCCAAGGCCCCAATTGTGCCAAATATTATGTTTGGATAAGAATGTGGATTTTTTGCTAAAAAGGGTAAACTATGATTTTAATAATTTTCTTCTTCTTCATCTCTTTCCGTGCAACCTAAATGATTTCCCCTCTGAGCTCTATTCCTTCTCTTATGCTCTCCTTTCTCGTCAATGGTGGATTTTTGTTGTCGTTGTATTGACCTCATGTCCGACCAAAATTTACCAGCTCTTAAGTCCCTTTTTCTCGTCAAATAGAGAAATGAGATAAAATGAAACTATCTTAAACAAAGAGATGAGTTCTATGACCAACTCGTAGAAATCTCTTTGTTGATTGAAAACCTTTCCTTCCCTCCGCCCCCACAATATTGAGAAGACGGAGCAATCGGTGACAGCTAGATTCAGCAATGGAGAAGGTTTTCATTGGTGGGATTTGATGAAAATGTAAATCTACATGATTGGTTTCAATCGGTGGGTTCTCAGATTTTTTTCTCTATTGCCCTTGCAGGAATTTCAATGTGAGTTTTCAACAACAATCGGCTGCCAATGTCCCTTACTCTCACCGTCGGGAAAGCCTCCCTTACTCTCACTACTGAGAAAATCTCTCTCATGTCTTTGTAAGATTGATGATGTGGTGGACAATTTAGTCAAACCTTTTTGAAATATCATAGAATAGCCAAAACTTTCAATTTAATGGGTTGATACAACCATTTGTTAGTTTCACCGGGAAATATGCCAACGTGGTTAACAAAAATTGTGAGGAGGATGTGACTATGTGACGTAACATGGTGATAATATTTTTTTTCATTGAATCAACAATTAGGTACCACATATTCAAAAATTCACTCAAATTAATTATAATAAAAAGGAAAAAAATCAAATCGTTTATTTCGACAACATGAAGTGGCATTTGAGAAGAGTTGCCTACATAAGCTCTTGAATCTAAAATTTAGATGTTGATGTGATGATCTCGATTGGTGGCTTTAGTGATCTATTGGTGTATTCTTGATGGTGGATTGTAGTTGTCGTTGTATTGACCTCAAGTCCGACCAAAAATTTCCGGCTCTTAACTCTTAAGTCCCTCTTCCTTGAACACTCTTTCTGTTTCTTTCTCTCGTCAAACAGAGAAAAGAGATAGAAGTGAAACTATCTTTAACGAAGAGATGAGTTATATGACCAATTCGTAGAAATCTCTTTATTGATTGAAAACCTTTCCTTCCCTCCAACCACCACAATATTGAGAAGACGGAGCAATTGGCGACAGCTAGATTAAGCGATGGAGAAGGGTATCATTGGTGGGATTAGGTGAAAATGTAAATTTCCATGATTGGTTTCAATTTGTGGGTTTTTCGGATTTTTTACCTATTGCCCTTGCACGGATTTCAATGTGAGTTTTCAACAACAATCGGCTGCCAATATCCCTTCTCTCACTGTCGGAAAAGCCTCCCTCATGTCGTCGTCCCTTACTCTCACTGCTGAGAAAATCTCCTTCCTGTCATTGTAAGATTGATGATTTAGCGGATGAAAATAGTCAAATATGTTTGAAATACCATAAAATAGCCAAAATTTTGATTGTGGTGGACACATACAAACATATGTTATTTCCACCGTGAAATATGTTGACATGGCTAACGAAAATTGTGATGAGGATGTGATTATGCGACGTAACATGATGATCATATTTTTTCATTGAATCGACAATTAGGTACCACGTATTCAAAAATTCACTCAAATTAATTATATAAAAAAAGAAAGAAAAAAAATTCCAACCATTTATTTCGACAACATGAAGCGATCCTTGAGAAGAGCTGCCTACGTAAGCTCTTGAATTTGAAATTTAGATGTTGATTTGATGATCTCGGTTGGTGATTTTAGTGATCTATTGGTGTATTGTTGATGCTAGCTCGCAAAAGCGACGACTGTTGGAAAAGAGTTGCATTTTGAAGAAGATACGACGATGGCTTATTGAAGATGGTGATGGCTAAATAAAACGAAGGCGGTATTGGGTGGAAGATGTTGGGTCGCTTCATGTTGTCGAAATAATAGGCTGGTTTTCTTCTCTGTAAAATTAATTTTGGATGGAATATATTAATATGACGTAAATAATCGTTCATGTGTTAAGGTAAACATACTATCTTCATGCCACGTCACGTAATCATGTCCCATCACCACTTTCGTTAGCCACATCAACACTATGAACGTAAAATTAACGAATGGTTATATTTGTCCAACATATTAAAAGATTTTTAGTGGTCGTTTGGATGGGGAATTCTAATGGATCAATCTGACACAATTGTCTCGTTTTGAGAGAGTTAGATTGACTCATTTGACAACAGAAAATTTGAATGAAGCAATTTGCCTTGGAATTCTGAATTGACTCGTTTTGAGGCAATTACAATTGTCTGGGGTGGGGACAGGTAATTCGAATTGAATCATTTTAAATGACTCATTTTGTAAAACGAGACAATTAATTTAAATTGTCTCGTTTTGCAATTGATCCATTCAAACAACCCCTTAGATATTTTACGATATTTCGAATAATTTTGATTATTGCTATCCACAACTTTGAAGATTTACTATTTTTTGTATTAACCTATATAAATATATTCACATTCACTTTCTTGGAACTAGGATAGGATGTATCCCTTTTGACTTTTGAGTGGATCAAGTTTTGTGGCGAACCGAGCTTAGTAGTTAGTTAGCTCTTAATCCACAAATTTTGACGAAAAGTAAAAAATGGAGACCATCCTGACAGCTTCCTCTTTCATTTGCTCCCCCTTCCCACTACCATTCTCTATTCCTTTTTTTGTCGAGTCAAAATTGTACAAAGATACCAATGAAACCCTCTTTTCCTTCAACTGATCTCCTCTACCGACACTTTATTTGCTTTATTCCAATTACAGGGAGCTCAAAGTCCCTCATTTCCCACGCCAGGGCAGGACTCTCGATGGGAGATCATCAATTTTGATTAATTAGCTTATGTTAGTGGTGGCGCACTGACGCTCACTTCATTAGTGTTGTTTGTTTAAACAACTTTTAGGCAAAAACCAAACGGCAATGGCAGGCAGGAGACCTACGCCGCGCAAATCATGAAACCCCATCTGTTGTCGAAAGCAAAACAAAAGCTGGGAAAAGAGAAGAAGTACTGTTTCATCCAACAAGAAGCTGAAGCATATGGATTCAAGAAGTTGGTTCCATGCCCGAAATCCCTAATCCTCTCCGTCACCAAAGACCCCGCCACCCGCCAATACACCACCGCACCCCGCCCGTCCCTCTCACCCTCCTCCTCCACCTCGGCGGCGACTCCCTCTGGGTCAACTGCGACCAGCCCTACCTCTCCTCCACCTACCGCCCCGCCCGCTGCGGCTCCGCCCTCTGCTCCCTCGCCGCCTCCACCGCCTGCGGTGACTGCTTCTCCACCCCACGCCCCACCCCCGGCTGCAACAACAACACCTGTGGGATCTTCCCTTACAACCCCATCACCTCCACCTCCACATCCGGCGAGCTCGCCACCGACGTTATCTCCCTCAACTCCACCGACGGCTCCAACCCGGGTCCCTCCGTCTCCGTGCCCCGCTTCCTCTTCGCCTGCGCCCCCAGCTTCCTGACCCGCGGCCTGGCCCCACCATCTGCCGGCGTGGCAGGACTCGGGATTTTCCGGCCACGGCTTGTAATTGCAAGAACCGAGGTTGCACGGAAGGAAGAAAGCTTGGGCCGGTGACGGATCCTAATCTAAAAAAGGTTTGATTCCTTGGTGGTCTCAAAGTGGAGGTTTATGCCTCCGATGTGGTTTCAAAATTCGGAATAGTTTAACCAGATTTAACTTTTAAGTCTCGCAATTTTTTAGATTCGGTTTTCCATGGTTTCCTATATGCTATATATGGTTCTGGTTCCCTTTCCTCTGCGGCCTTCCCATACTTGCAGATGATTCAGCAGAACTGAAATATGTTACCCAGCTTGTTGCTGCTCCTGCTCTTCATGGGCATCGATCTATTCACTTCCGTTGGAATAATTTCATCCATTGTTTTATAAATTGTTCATCAATTGCTTCCTTTGTTCTTAAAGTGTAGCTCTGCTCCGGCTGCCGGAGCTGTCTCGGTTGCACCCGGCGGCGCTCAACGCCCGACGCGATGAAGTATTGCCGGCAAACCTTTTTCCCCAATGTGTTTTCCTCTTGCCAGGTGTTCGACAGCGGTGAATTTTCTATGGGCGGATCCACGTGGTGGGCGGTGAGGCGGTCAGTGGATTACTACAGCGTCGCCAAAACAAATCCTTACCTAATATTTGGACACGTGTACGCTTGAGAGTCTCTCCGCCAGCAGCAGCTTTGCTCTCATCCTCATCAGATGCGAGTCTTTCCGCCAGCAGTTTGCTCTTACCCTTATCGGATGAAGATAGGTAAGTTGGATTGGTGAGTAATTTATTCTTTTCTTACTTTTATAGTTTTATTGTCGCCATTTAGTTTCCAATGGCTAAATGGGTTGGGCCTGTTTTACTTCTATCTTACCCAATCATTTGTCTTGGTCTCATTTTGGGTTTCACAACCCCAGTCTTGCTTGGCTGTGTGGTGGCTTTATCACTGTATCTGGTAATTAACCTCTGATTGCGCTAGGCAGCAGGCACCTTCTGTTTGGTCTCTATTCTTGCTTTACATAATGAGATTTTATCATATGATTCATTATTATTTATGGGGTGAATTTTGTTAGCTAGAAAGTTGTCTATTCATGTTTAGCTAGCTAATCGATTTATGGTCTTTTTCTTTAATTTATGTTGTTGATGTAATGATTTACCAACTCTTTGTGGTTTTGTTGCACATTTGGACAAACCTTTTTGTGGCTAGTTGTGTGTTTGTTTTGCAGGTGAAGTTACTCCTTTTGGAGTATGTTTGTTTGTTAATTTTGCAGGTGTTCCTTGCTGCCAAAATGCAAAATTTTGCTTCTCTGCTTCAGTTTCAGCATGGCTAGTTCCATGATTTTCATCTTTAGAAGGTAAAAATCATGGATACTGCCCATGCCGCATAGGTATTAAAGAGCTGCCCGTTGCGTGGCGAAAAAGGCTCTCTTATCGATGGTTCGGCAATTTGTCGACCGTCGTCCCTTCCTCTTATATGTATTATTTTGGTTGCCTAATAAGGCTTCCACCTCGTATCTAGTTGTTCCCTTTCGGGAATATCTTTGACAAAAAAAAAAAAAAAAAAAGAAGAAGTACTGTTTCATTTGACAATCTTAGGGCCAATTTGTCGTCAGAAAACATTTGGGCTATGGCTGGCCCAAACGCAACCCGTGGGCATGGGGTGTGGGAAAATGGATTGATGGCCCAAAATAGAATGGGATTGCCTACTTCTATAGTGTATGGGCTCTGAACCGGGATGGACTCAATATTTATCATTTCAGTCACTTCTGGTGGACCCACATTGGATTGGTCCAGTGGAGCAGTCCCAATATTGAGCCCAAATACCAATTTGTGGCGAGACCCTGAAACAAAAATGCAGGGATTGGTCCACTTGGGTTTCTCCTACTAGTTCGTGGACTTCTATGGGGTGTGGTTTGATAAAATTGTAAGGAAAGCAACAACTAAACTGAAGGTTGAAGGAGTCCGCGTCGGATCCATGATTGGGTAGATTATTGGGCCACATCTTGAAAATAGGTAGAGTGGGTTGGGTCCTAACTCGACGAACACCAAAAATAAAAAATTTACAAGTGCTATACTAGCTTTGATTCAGAGGAGGGCTGGGCCGCTGGATCCGCCGCTGGAAGGAGGGATCGACCTCAAATGTGGGTGAACCTCTGCATCCGACAAGTGGAATAACTAAAATTTTGTCAAGAATGGATCCATTTAGAAAAAAAAAAACACACGATAAAAGTGTTTTGTTAGCTTTTTAAATAATTCATGATATAATTTTGTATTTATTAATATTGGGAAATTAAATGTGTCAAAACTATAAGAATATTATTTTATATGTATCAAACAATGCATGATTTAGTTAGATATTTGCTTTTGAATGGTGTTCTTTGTCAAGACTGTTTAGTATTAATAACTCAAGTTGTTGGGAAAGATATAATAACGGATCTTATACTATTTAGTATTTACTAACACTTCCCTACTAACGAAACCCAACTTATATATGCTTGAAGTTTTCGTAAATCCGAATGTCATGTGCTTAACAAATGGGGTTGCCAAGATTCGAACACATAATCACTCGGTCAATTATTCTCAATTAGAAGTGCTCTAAATTTTATTCTCAATTAACTATTATACTATTTTACTCATTTTCGTCCTTAGGATCCACTCGTTACACTCTCCCTTCCCTTTTATTGAAATAAAATTATTTTTACAAGTTAGCTATGATTTGGTGAAAAGTTGTTGTAGATATTGAATAAGTACATCTTTAATTTTGAGCAGATCATATGCACCGGTGCCATTTGTACATAGCTCGTTATAAATATTTGAATATGCCAATACACACTTATAAATCATACATAAAATATTTGAAATGTTAATTATTCTCATCTAAATACGTGTTAATTTTCATATCTGATTAAACTATTATACCTAATTTACCATTTTTCACCCCGAACCAGGCTGGATCCCTGGACCCACCCTCTGACCCTCTCCCTCCGCCACTGATCCTCACAGAACTTGACATGGCAATCGCGAGGGTGAAAATGAATGTGTTTGTAAAAAATATCCAGAATTCAACATCTCGCAATCATACGAGTTACACAAATAAACTATGAAATCAATAAGAAAACCTTAGATCATAAGATTACTCATCAAAAGCAGCTACCTGATAAGAAGGAAAAGAAAGACATCATCAAACGTTTGTGCACTCAAATTAAGTCGTTGATGGAAGAAAATAATGCCCTCGAGATGAAAACTTCTCATCATGTCTGTCTCCTTGTAATTCACCATCCGAGAAACCAGTGGTGAACCGCTCTTTTCTTCGTCGTCATGTTGTATGTCGATGGGATTGATCAAAGTCACCCAAAAAAACCCAATGTTGTTTTGTTACTTCACTGCTACGTGTAGTTAATTGGAAAATAAGAGGTGCAATTTTTTGTTTTTATTAATTATCTACTAGATATGAGATCAAAGAGACAAAGATGTGGCGTCTTTTTTCGTTTTGTTTGTGACTGCCTACCTCCTGGCTCCTAGTCCTCCTCGCTAGTTTACTTGTTTCTCACGCTTCCCATTCTATACATCGTACGATCAAAATGGGGTAACCTTCTTCGGCAAATTAACATTCTTTGTGTAGTAAAAGGATAACGGAAGTTGTCCTCATATGGATGGCATGCAAAGTATGATGATCAAATTGATATTTTCACAGCTTCTCTGAGAATTAACTCGCAGCTCCCGCTGCCGACTCTCCTCTCATCTTGAATCTCACACTTCACTTCACACAGCACCGCCACTGGGCAACGTTCTCGATTTCTTTCCTCTTTCCCTTTTTCTTTTGTTTGTTTGGATTTTGCTTCTCCTCCATTTTTGTCGGCATCGCCGCCAAGATCTAGCTCCTGATCTCAGCACGCCACTCCCCCATTCCCCTAACCTGCTTCTATTCTACTTACCCACAATATGAACCGGCAATGGGGCTCCGATTCCGGCGCCGGCGGCGGTGTTTCTCCCGTAATGTCGCCGTCCCGTATCCCACCCCACGCCCGCTCCTCCTCTGCTTCTTCGGGCCTCTCCACCATCAAGCGAAACCAGAACTTCGCCGCCAAAGCCGCCGCCCAGCGCCTCGCTCAGGTCATGGCTTCCCAGACTGCCGACGACGACGATGAGGACGACGCTGACGACCTCGATTTCCGTTACAGCGCTCCTCCTCCTCCTCTCTCCATCTCCCGCACTGCCGCTGCTTCGAGTGCTGCTGCTCAGCCCGCTCCAAGGATCGCCAGATCCCCTTCCCCTGCTGTAAATTCCCTCCGCCATTTATCTCCTTTTGGATACTTCAATTAAGCGTCTCGGTTGAATTGATTGGTACAAAATGCGGCAATTGTGGACGATGCTCGATTTGGGATTACTAGCTAGTTCATCCCTTAATCCGTATTTAAGTTAATTACTCAATTTAGTGTTGCGTGTCTGTAGCTTTTAGTACCTGATTTAATGCCTGCATTGCTGGTAACCATTTCGATATTTAAAAACGAGAAAGAAGATGATGCTGATGATTATGTGCATTCTCAAGCTATTTCGGATTTTGGGTCTGTTATGTTATGATGCAGATTCCGCGTAACATTGCTGAGGAAACTCCCTCGGTTCGCTCCACATCGGCTGGAAGGTCCGCAATCTCACTCCGAGCAGCAGCACCACCGGTTCCGCCCAGTAAAGGGTCATTGAGGACGGCTGTCTCGTTACCACCTCCTCTGGAGCCACCTAAAAATGGCTTTAGGGACAGAAAGAGGTATAATTCTTAACGAGCTTTCAGTTAAAGAACGATGTGGCTGCGTTGCTGGTTGATTAAGTACCTAGTAGGTAGTAGCAGTGACATATTCTTAGATATTGTTAGAACAATTTTAAACTTGATGCTACATAGTGAACCGGCTTTAAGCTTCCTTTCATTGGATGGCATTGACTGCAGATTCTCATCTGATGAAGTGCTTCTTAACTCGAAAGATTCGGGAGATCATCGAGAGTCTTCTGCTCTTCGTGATGAAGTAAGTATGAAGTTTGACATTGGATCACTGATTAATCGACAAGATTTCTCACTGAATTCACTCGTTTTGCAGCTTGATATGCTCCAAGAAGAGAATGACAGCATGGTTGAGAAGGTGCATTATATTTTCTTTTCTTTCTATTTTTAGCATCAATATGGTTGTATAGCATGTCCCTGAAGATCTAAAATTGGTTTACAGCTGCGGTCTGAGGAGGAAAGATGTCAAGAAGCTGAGGACAGAGTCAGAGAGCTGGAGAAACAGGTGATTGATTGCCTCATTATGTATCATTTAGATAGAATAAATGCCTTTTAATTCTCTCCTTTCAGGGTTTCTTAAACTATGATTTGCTTGTCTTTTCTGCCTTTGGTACTTAGGTGGCTGCTCTTGGAGATGGAGTATCTTTGGAAGCAAAATTGATGAGCAGGTGAGTTGATTTTGCCTTGTTGTTTTTTCCTTACTATTGGTAAAAAAATTTGACAAATCTTGTTATCATAACCAAATGCAGGAAGGAAGCTGCTTTGCGTCAAAGAGAGGTGCTTTATTTGCTCTATGAACTTTGTTTGATCATATAAGTTCACTTTTCACGCACCCGAGATTTTCCTTTTTACCAATTTTTGGGTTGATTTGGTTTTTGAAGCACCGTGGAAGATGCCACTTACTAATGATCGTCTAAGTATTGCTTTGAGTACGACACAGAAATCAAGTTTATTTCTGGCTTATTTTGTCTGTCCTTCAGGCTGTTCTTAAGGATGCAAAGCAGAATGCAGTGGATAAGGAACTTGCTGCTGTTAGGTCCGCAATTCAAGTGAGTATAGGCTATAGTCATGGCCCCTTTTAGCTTCATTTTTTATGCATCCTGATGGCAGCCTGTTAACTCTATCTTGGTATAATTGTCAGAATGCAAAAGATGAGGCGTCAGTAGTACTGAGACAACTTCACGGAGCTGAATCTGAAGTAAAAGCTCTTCATTCAATGACACAGAGAGTGGTTTTGACTCCGAAAGAAATGGTTTGTCCAGAAAAAGAGCGCCTCATAATTCTAAGCCCCCAGAAAGAAGTATTACTCACTTGGATTCAAATTTCAGGAAGAAGTTGTTCTTAAGCGGTGTTGGCTTGCTCGTTACTGGGGCTTAGCTGCCAAATATGGTATCTGTGTGGATGTTGCTGTGCCAAAGCATGAATACTGGTCATCATTAGCACCTCTTCCACTTGAAATTGTTCTTTCTGCTGGACAAAAAGCCAAGGAGGAATGCTGGGACAAAGGTTACTAATCAACTCTACTTCTTATGACTTATCGTTGGACTGTATCATCCATCTTTATCTTAATTCTTAATGATCAACAACTTCTCATTTTGATAGGTGGTGATGATGATAAGAAGGAGAAGAGAAGCAAACTAGCTCCGGACCTGAGCGATCTAACTGGCGAAGGAAATATTGAGAGTATGCTGTCTGTTGAAATGGGATTAAAAGAGCTAGCTTCCTTGAAGGTGGTTATCTTTAGCTTACACCATCACCTTAATTTGTCATCCATAAGAATGATTATTTTCCATCTTAATTACTTTCACATACTTTAGAGTTTGGAAAAGGCATTTGACTAATGCTTGATTGTGTATTTATGTGTGCGAATTACAAAAGGTTGAAGAAGCTATTGTGCTTGCGCTGGCACAACAACGACGTGCAAATTCTGTTCGGCAATCAATCGCAGGCATGCCCTTTTCTTTCTTATTCTCCTCTGTTTCATTCGGATCAAAACAATGGGAACTATTTTCTTAACATCTTCTTTAGTAAACTGTACTATTGACTGATAGGAACGTAGGTTAACGCCCGATATTTGAATCTAATCTCACCTTCTCAATTTAGTTCAGTTTGATTTTGAACCTTATTATCCTTTATTTCTTTTCGTTCCAATCCCTGACTTGATCTGATTATGGATTGAGTTGGACCATGCTCAACCCTATTGATTGATTGCTTCATTTTTGTTGTTGTTATTGTTGCATTTAGAGCTCAAATCACCAGGTGATCCAAAATACATGGAGGCATTTGGTAAGCACATTCGGTAACCATCAAGTGCTCATCTTTATGACTCTATCTGCGTAGTTTAATTTGAGTCATATTGTCATTGCTCATCTCTTTTCTTGGGCAGAACTTAGCCCGGAAGAGTCTGAAGATGTGCTTTTCAAGGAGGCTTGGCTGACGTACTTCTGGGGGAGAGCTAAAGCAAACGGAGTGGAGGAGGAGATTGCAAAGGAGCGGCTTCAGTTCTGGATCAACAGGAGCAAGCACTCACCGAGTTCATACGATGCTGTCGATGGTATGTAACTAATGGAACCAGGGTTGAACATTTTTGTTTCTTTCAGGTAGGGCGGGCTTGATGTTTAGTGGAGGGGTTATTAATGGTGCATGTACTGTGCAGTGGAGCAAGGTCTGATAGAGATGAAGAAGTTGGGGCTGGAGTATCGGCTATGGGAAGCATCGCGGAGAGAGATAGAGGATCTTGACAGCAACTCTTCACGGAGATAGCCGAAGCAAAAACCAAGGAAAGAGGCCACACTGCGTCTGTAAAGTTTGCTGTTTCTATTCGTTGTTTCATGTGCGGGCAGTAACTAGAGAGTGTGTATTATACGTCGTGATTGGCAGGCAGCTGCATGTATCATCCTTTGTTCCCCGTTTCCAGCTGATCATTCTTGATAGTAGCCTTGGGAGGAAGTTAAAAAGGAAAAACGAGCGAAAGGAGCGAAAAGAGAGAAATTTTGCAAGGGAAAAGGGTGGATGAGAACACTACCCCTTTTGTTGCTTTATGGGTGGAAGGGCAGGGAGGGAAATGAACGAAAGTAAAGGAATTTCTGTGCAATTAGATTTGTACATATGATTTGAATTGTGACAAAACAATTTAAATGACACATTTAAATGACACATTTGGTCACCGAGATTACTAAATCGTGTCATATTTAGTCACTAGAAAAATTTAATATCAATTTTGGTCACTCGAATTACTGAAACAGGTCACATTTGGTCACTTTTCTGTAGCCTCTGTCCAACTCCGGTCACTTGAATTATTGAAAAATGTCACATTTAGTCACTCGGATTACTAAAACATGTCACATTTAGTCACTCTCCCAAAAGTTTCTGTCCAACTACATTAATGGAGTTGGACGGAAACTGACGGGAGAGTGACTAAATTTGACCAGTTTCGGTAATTCGAGTGACCAAAATTGATATTAATTTTTTCTAGTGACTAAACATGACACAATTTAATAATCTCAGTGACCAAATGTGTCATTTACCCCAAATATATGAGAATACATTTCTCAAATTTATTAGAGATGGAGAGATTAAAAATTCACTGTTAAATGCATATTTTTCACTTTTACCAGACAAATTCTAGTACTATTGTCTATTTTACGTAATCAAATCATATTTTTACGAGATCTAGTTGCATGCATTTCATCAATTAACAAAAATAGCGAATCAAAAGCCCCGTGATTTTTTGACCTAATCCTAATCTACAATTTCTTAATCTTCTACTTATCTCCTAGTCGTGGGCGGTTGTATCAAATGAGATCATGGTCCCCCTCTCAAGTCTCAACCCTCATTACCTTTTTGCACCATCAGGGCATCAATCTCATTTGTTTCCAGAGGAAATTACGCCACCAAAATTAATTGGGAAAATCTTTATGACAAAACCAACCAACCTAAAGTAGGACGTTTGGCCATGAAAGTAATGGTAAATTATTTTTTGTCAAAAAAGGAAAGAAGAAAAGGGGTATCTATTTGGATGTGAAAGTTGGTTTTGAGAGGTTGTTAGTTGTTACCCACCAAACCAAAACAAAGAAAATAAAAGTTGATTTTGAGAGGGGGCCGATAATCCAACAAGCAGAAAGACTAAAGGCAACACCAACCAATTCAAAAGGTGAAATTGGTGGACTTTTATGATAATATTCGTATCATCGAATTTGTTTGAGTGAGTGTATATCCATGTAATGTATCTGTGTCTGGAATTTGCTTTCTTTCCTTTGTTTGCTCATAATAATGTGTCTTTTCCAATGGTCGCTTTTCTCTTTTGCCTTTTCTAGTATCTATTCAAGAACCGCGTGTCTGCTTCTTTTTCTTCTTCTTCTTCTTTCAACTCCACATAATAGTTTCTTCCCCAGCTAATATTATATTATCATCATCATCGAGTGGGAATCATTCATCATCATCCGCCTGACCTCATTCTCACCTCACACTCGCATGCGCACTTACATTTCCATTTCTCTCCCCTTATTAGCATAGTGCTAATACTAGTTCCAGCACGTATGGAGATAGGTGGGTTCTAAAGAGGTTGTCGACCCTTTGAAAATTTTGAGAGTGTTGATGGTAAGTTTGGAGGAGTCTACTTTTTAACATGTTTGAGATCTGGTGATCACTGACCTTTTGATCAACGTCTGCTACCAGCCTTCGAGATGAACATATGTAAAAAAGGATCCGTCGATTGTGGTCGGCAGAGACCTGCTCCAAAGTTCAAGTTAGTATTTGAGAGGAGAGTGACCGAGTGCGGCATAGTGAGCCAACTGCAAAGAGAGAGAACGTGAATTCTCTGGTTTTATATAGATCCCCATCAACTTGTTAGAAGATAGAAGTTGGTGGACCATTTTGAAAATAACCTTCTATCTATTTTGTTGGTCTAGTGGGAGAGCTAGGGTTCGGCTAACTTTGATAGTCGGCCATATATATATATGCTCTGGTGATGTATTTTTTCCAATGCTGTCAAAGCCGAGCCGGAGTATGACCCGATAACGTGAACGGATCGGTCATTAGTGGTCCAGCCGGCATTAGACCGTTTAAAAACCGTTTGAGAACCGATACATTAAAAATTATAATATAATAAGCACAAGACATATAAAGCAATAACTTAACAATTCAATGGCTAAAATAAAATTTATTTTGCAGGTATCACTTAGTAATTTTACAATACATATACATTTAACAACTAAGGAATCCCCACCCTTCCCAACCCTAGCGGCGCCCTCATCCCCCCCCCCCCCCCCCTCTACCTCTCTGATTTCCTTCTCATTCATTTCCCTATTATGTTTGGTCCAACACTGCAACTTGAAGGAAAAGGGGCAAGACAGAGAGGTTAGCACCGTCTGGAAGGAGAGTCAGCAATAGGATTACAATAGGATTACGAAGAGTTGGGTCATCTCGTCGCTGGGTCGTCATCACAGGGCCGAGAGGGCGAGTAGATTGTTGGTTGCTCGTCGTCGCTTGGTTTGCCTGCAGGAGAGCTTGCCAAATCGACGAGTTGTGCATCCAAATCAGCAAATCGACGGGGGGCAAAGAGTCCGAGGTCGCCTCTGGGTTCTGTCGACGGGGACTGAGCTCGAGGACTGGCGATGGGTGCTGGCGGCGGAAGCGGCGCTCCTTCTGTCTACACGAGAGGCGAAGAAGAATGAACTGAAGAATCTGAATTAGGGTTGTTTGACAGCACGACATTTTCCTCTTTCCTTCCCGTTTTTAATTTTTTTTATTAAAAACCAACCGGCCGAAATGGAAAGCCGAGTGTTCGGCTCGAGCGGCCCGGGCGGTTAACCGTCCCGGCCGCTCGCCGACCGCCCCAAAAACCCGTTCCGGCTAAATAGCTGTGCCGAGCCGGTTTGACAGTCCGGTTTTACCGGTCCGACCGGCCGGCTCGGCCCGGCTTTGATAGCACTGATTTTTTTTGTATTATGCAATGCTGTCAAAGCCGAGCCGGAGCTTGACCCGGTATCTTGAACGGCTCGGTCATTAGTGGTCCAGCCGGCATTAGACCGTTTAAAAACCGTTTGAGAACCGGTACCTTATAAGTAATAATATCATAAATAAAAAGACACATAAGGTAACAATTTAATAATTTAATGATTAAAATGAAATTTACTTTTTGGGTACCACTTAGTAATTTTACCATTTATATATATATAAACTAAAACTAACAAACCCTAATTCACTCACCCACCCCATCAGCGGCAGCGCCGCTCTACCCCTATCCGCTCTCTTTCTTTTTTACAATTTTTCCATCTCTCTTCTCTTAATCCCAAATCTAGATCGGCAACGACGAATTCCTTTTGGACTCTTCCTTGTCGCTCACGCCGTTGATGGATCTTCCCTACGGTGGTCACAACGACTTCGCCAAACCGACATCCTCTGGAGCAGCAGCGGCAGCGGTGGGGGAAGCCAGTTCCAATTATGGGTTCACCAATAACTACCATCTGTATACTTTTTCGAATCCGGCGGCGGGATATTTGCCAGGCGGCGGCGGACAGTGCAAGGTGGAGCAGTCGATGGACAGGACACCACTCGATGAGATTAACCCATAAATTTTTTTTGTTGATTTTTTTTATTTCCAAACGGTCAGAAACCAAAAACCGGTTGGACGGTTCGAGCGGCTCGAATGGCTAACCATTTCGGCCGCTCAAAAACCGTCCTTCCTGGCCGTTGCGGCTATTGAGGGGTTCCGAGCCGGGCTGGCGTCCGGGTGCCGGTTTTACCGGTCCGACCGGCTGGCTCGGTTCGGCTTTGACAGCACTGGTATTATGATTTTGGTGAATAAGAGAACTAAACGCCTTGTGTCATGGGTATAGGTGTCAAAACATAGCCCGACCCGATTAACCCGCCCGATCAACCCGACCCGCAACCCGACCGCAACCCGAATTGACTAAAAGTCAACAACCCGTAACCCGCCCGACCCGCAACCCGATTGACCCGCAACCCAACTAACCCGCAACCCGACTGACCCGCAACCCGATTAACCTGAACCCGATTGACCCAAACCTGACTAACCTGTAACCCGACCGACTCAACCCGAATTTCATCTAATCCACTTGAATAATTATAAAAATATACAATACATAGTTTTTCAAAATAAAGTTTTTCATTCTAAACTTAAGTAAAATTATTTTTTCATTTCGTATAGGAAATTTAAGAAATATGAAACTCACTTGATATTACGTATTTTAAGAAAATTACAAAACTTGAAACATGAAGGTCACTTGAGATCATGACAATATTAATATAATATATAAATTAAAATTTTGGTTAATTTAACTATTCAATAAAATTATCAATTAAATATAAATAAAGTAAAGTAATGTATTTGGTAATTTGATGTTTTTACATGAAGAGGGAAATTTTGGTGTATTCAAGTTTTTGGGAAGAGAAAGAAGAGGGAAATTTGGTTATTTGAATTTTTTAGAAAAGAAACAAGTGGGAATTTTGGTGGTTTTGATTTGTGGGAAGAGAAAGAAGTGGAAAATTTGATTCTTTTGATTATGAAAGAGAAATAAGGAGGGAAACTTTTGAGTTTTCAACTTTTTGTAAAAAGAAAGAAGAGGGTAATTTGGTTCTTTCAATTTTATGGAAGAGAAAGAGGAGGGAAAATTGAGTTTTCTAATGTATAGAAGTAGAAAGAAGGAGGGAAATTTTAGTATTTTTGTGAGAAGAAAGAAGGAAACAAATTTGGTGTTTTCAATTTTTTGGTTTTTCATAATTTTAGCTTTTGAAATATGAATCTTTAACTTTTATATGGAGGGCATGAGTAGTTAAAATTATTCTTATATGCTTTGAAGGCTAATATATATATGTATGTAATTGTTTATGGGCTAATAAATAAATTAACCATTAGTTACAACAATTTATACTAAACTTGATAAGTAATCTTTGGCGGTTCGTTGTTTAGGATATAAAGTATATGGTTAGGGTATAGGGTATAAGGTACATATGGTTTAGGGTGTATATGGTTAGGGTAAAAGATATTGATGGTTTTGACGGTTCTAAGTTTTTTATTAACATATGTTCACTTGAAGTCATTTGAAGTGTAAAGTATAAGATATATGGTTAGGGTATAACAATTAGCAAATATCACTTTTTATCTATGTTTTGAAAATCAAAGTATGAATTTCACTTTTAAATTAACTATACTAGCA